CTATTAAGAAATTTTTACCATTGCCATGCTAAAAAACATACAGTATGTTTTAGCATTATTATAATTCCACACATCTTTAGAATATAAAATTCTATACCACATCTGTCACAAAGTACCAAACAGATAAAATTTTTACGCGTAGTGCTTTTACTATTTCTATTGTAGTCTCCACAGGTAAATCTCAACTAAGTATTAGGTTTTAAATATATGATATTTTACATGCTGTCAATTAAAGTTTGAGTCATCAAGCAGCTGTCTTTTTCCTCAGTAGGTCAATGGCAGCAATTTAGATATAGGAAGAAGTTAGAATGATACATGCACACACACACACACACACACACACACACACACACACAGAAAAGTTGTGTGAGGGGAGGCTTGTTTGAGGACATGCCCAGTAGTGCTTAAGGGCCACTCCTGGTTCTGTGCACTGGGCTCATACCTGTTGTTGCTCAAGGAACCATGTAGTGCTGGGGATCAAACTGTCTTGGTTGCATGCAAAGTAAAGGTCTCAAAGTGCCTTGTACTATTTCTCCAGCTCTCTTAAAGATTTTTAGTGCAGCCATTCAAAGTTTTCTAATTCAAACTGAACTTTTTTCACCAGTCATATAATCTCTGATATACAATACCTGTGAATCTCCTGAATCAAAACCATATAAGGGAGACTGTTTAACCACATGTGACACATGTGATCTATCATTACATTGCCCTGTTCAGAGAATTAAAAAACAAAACCAAGCACCAAGATAAATTCGTCTTAGGAACTGCATGTGGGACTGGCAGTGTTCTTCAGTGTCCCGTCTGGAATGATTTAAGCAGTGAATTTAGATAGCCAATAACATGGAAACAAAGTCTATAGCCATATAGTTAATATCTTTACAATCCTTTGAAGAGGAGGATAATTTCACAAAGAACTTTCTTTCATTTGTTTTCAGTTTTAAGAAATTTAGGCCAATCTCTTTTATTCCTTATCCTTCGGGCTGATCACAAATCAGAGGAATTTTTATTCTTTTGGAATTTTGAATATAATGGGCTCATGTAGTAAAAATAATACTGGTGATTGAAATCTTGGTGATTGAAACCACAAGATCCCAAACTAAGAGAGCCTTTTGCATAGTTTTCTAAAGTCTACTCCGATGACGTAAGACTGGCTGCCTAAATAATTCTCTGGGAATATGTCATATCAGCTTTCTGGGGAGCTGGACCCTCAGCCTGTGGCTTCCAGAGGATCCTCTACAGAGCTGCCCCCACCCCCTGCCTCCTGTAAATGAAGAAAAGGGAGCTCTGAGTAACGTGCTCCCTGGCTCAGTGCATCCAAGGCTTGATCATCCAGGACCTGAGCCACAAACTGGACCAAAGTGATACGACACTTAAAGTAGGAAGACTGACTTTTCACAATCAAACTTTAGAGCATAGTGAAGACAAATAAATGAATATTAATTCCCAAAACACTTTAAAATCTATAGATTTCAGAAGTGTGTGTGTGTGTGTGTGTGTGTGTGTGTGTGTGGAGGAAGGGGAAGGGAGAGTACATACTTCCCAGCATATCATACTACCCAGCATACTTATGCAGACATGATATAGAATGCAGAACTGAAATTAAAATGCCATGAAATAATGTACATAACACCTTTGGATATTCTTTATTTTATTTTTGTTTAATCAGAAAGTGCTGGTCAGTACCCCATAAACTCATCTTGTTGCCTACTTGTTGATCATTCTTCAGACTTAAGAAAGACCTTAAGCACTTGTAAATATTTGTAGGTGCCTTGCTCCCAATTGCTTTGCATTTTTGAAATTACATTTGAAGTTCATGAGTCACAGAAATGTCATAGAAAAAAAATATTTTAGCTAAAAATGATTAAGCTCAACTTCTTGTTTTATTTGTTATATGTGGCCCTACATAATCTAGTCAACTAAACAACATAGATTATTATAGATATGGAATGTTAGAGTTTCGGGCTAGGGAGAATAAGGAAGAATTTCAGACTTATCTACTTAGTATGCAGAGACCCAGAAAGAACTCATTGTAGCTCTTTTATTTTAAAAAAAAATTATTTATTTATTTATTGAATCGCTGTGGGAAAAATTACAGAGCTTTCGAGTTTAGGTCTCAGTCATGCAAATATCAATCACAATTCCCTTTACCAATACTTATTTTTCACCCCGAAGAACCCCAATAAGCCTCCCCAACCCCCCCCCCATGTCTATGGGGTAGATGAATTCTAGTTAACACTCTGTCTACCTTGACTAGCTTCATTGTTTTGATAAAAGTTGCACCATTATTATTTAGACTTTATCCCCCCTCCCCAAACTCAGCCATGCTGAAAAAGCATTGTGAAATGATCTGCTTTCTACAGCTGGGTTCAAGAATTAAATGATGCTGGATTTCTGTATTAAGTCCTTGTGCTTCTGGGGCCGTGGCCGTGCCAGAGAGCCGCTCGTGGGGGCCAACTGGTGACCTCGGTCGGGCGTGAGGGACGGGCCAGAGCACCCCCGTCCCATGAGGTATCCATTGCGCCCCCACCCCCGGCTCAGACCTGCTCTCCACCGGGCTCCCATGTGGCCGCCATCTTTCTTTCCAGAGAGGAGAGGGCGAATCCACTGTAGCTCTTTTTGCTTGTTTTTTTTCTTTTGGGTCACAGCCACAGATGCACAGGGGTTACTCATGGCTCATGCACTCAGGAATTACTCCTGGTGGTGCTCAGGGGACCGTTGGGATGCTGGGAATCTAACCCGGGTCAGCCGCCTACAAGACAAACCCCCTACTCGCGGTGCTATCACTCTAGCCCCTGTCTGTGTTTTTTTTTTTGGGGGGGGTGTGATTGTAGGTGGGGGTTTTGCAAGCCGGGCAGTCTTTAGGGTTTATTCCTGGCTCTGTGCTCATTGATCACTCCTGGTGGTACTTAGGGAATCTTATGGGGTGGCAGGGAATGAACCTGGGTTAGTCATGTGCAAGGCTAGCACCCTACCTTGCATAATCCTCATTATAGCTTTTAAGAATGAATTATGGGGGCCTGTAGGGAAATGGCTTAAAGGGTCAGAGCATATGCTTTGCATGTGGCAGCTGCAGATTGGAACCCTAACACTGCATGGTCCCTGGAGCACCACGTGGTTTGATTCCAAACCTCAGGAACAAATACACAAAAAGAATGAATTATGATAGCTGCGTTACCACAGTTTAGTGGCAGGAGGTATTTTAAAACGCTCTCATAGAAGGACTGATATGTGCTGGTTCTGATCATGTCCTGGCACTGAGTGTTGGAGTGGACGATGGCTTAGATACCATGGAGGAGCAGTGGGGTCTGTGGCTTGGCCTTGATTACTGAGGCAGCTTGGAGATGTGTGTGGTTGCTATTCTCGTTATGCTTAAGAAGGCTGCAAAGCACAAAAATGAGCAAGATCAATTCAGGAAAAGGGGTAATTGGCATCATGGAGGCTGAGGAAGGAAGATGGGGAATGCTGGCCTCAGGTCGGGCTTGAACATTTCCTCCTGTCCTGCCTGGGAGAAGTTTTACTCTCCTACCTGAGCCTTCAGTTGCTCTGTAGAGGGAGAGTATAAATGAGTTTGGATATTTTAAATCAAAGCCTTCATCCCCCAAATATACTGAAAATACAGAAATAACCCTGCATTATTATTGCAGGATATTGGATATTGGGGAGGTCTTTCTAAGTACTCTAATCTTTGGAAACCGAATCTTACTTCCCCTTTGTATTTGTAATCACTGTGACCTTTCAAAATGACTAATCTCATTGACTTTTCTTTGATCTATATATTATCATAGATTAACAAGTTCTAGGAAGGCCAAATGATGGCTTCCCTTCCTAATCACCTGGCATTTCTCATGAAATAGACTAAGGCTCATAATCTGCAATGAAAGCAACCTGCCTGTCTTAAGAGCTGTAGCTTACCTGATGAAGTAAATTCTCTTAAAATTAAGGAATCTGATTTTTTAAAAAGGAAAAAAGAGGAGGGCCAGAGATATAGTACAATAGTCAGGATTCTTGCCTTGCAGGCTACTGACCTGGGTTTGGTCCCCAGTACCACATATGGTCTCTCATGTCCCACTGTGACTGATCCATGAGTGCAGAGCCAGGGATGAGCTCCAAGCACCACAGAGTATTACAAACACATACAAAAAGAGAAACAGGAATTAGAAAATTAAAGATTTGTGGCCAAATAAGGCACACTGCCTGTTTTATAAATAAAATTTTATTACAAGAGAGCCTTGCCTGTTTATATACATTTATTCATATCCTTTTTTTGCATTACAGTAACAGAGTTAAGGAGTCACTATTAAGATGATGTAAATATAGGCTACGAACCTATATTTACTAACTGACCCTGTACAGAAAAAATGTTTACTAATCTCTGGACTAAAGGAATAGCCAGAGGGCATAGTATTCCGCTTTTTAAAATGTACTGTTAAAGCAAGGTTATTTTCTTTCAAATTGCATGAAAAACTTCTGTTATAATATACATTTATGATTATATTTGATAAGGGAAACTACCTGAAACTATTGTGTGACTGGTGTCTACTTATTTTCCTTAAACTTAAAGATCATTAAAAATCATTGTACACTAATTCAGAAGTTCTCAGAAGATAGCTAATGAGGCATAGATAAAAGATTATAATGTGGCATGCTTATAATTTAACTGTGCAATGGGGGATAGATTATTTCAGCTGGCAGTGCCTGTTTTGATAGTCTTGAGAATGATTATGGATTGTAGTTAATTTTCACATTTATAAATATCAATCTAAAATTTTCCTTGCTACAGATCAATAAGGCTAAGCTAATAGTTACTTTCAGAGAAGCCCCATATTTCTTGTCTTTAACAGACTTAGTTCAGTAGATTAAAAATGAATGTTTAATCATACTATTTCTTGGTTGCAGAATTTAAGTAATAAAAAACATGGAGGCTGCAGTGTTCCGCATTGGTATAGCAGTTTAAGTACATGTTATCTAATGTGTGGCCATCTTTCTTTTTTTTTTGACAGAATTGTGGAAGAAAGCAAACTGATTCCACTCATTTTCGAAGTGATTCTGGTAAGAGTCTGAAATTCAAGTGAAATTACAATTTTTTTTTTTTTACATTTTGACATGGGTAGCAGAGTTCTAACCTTAATTCTATCTGGTGGGATTGTCTGTCTTCCTCATTAGTAACCTTATAGGACCTCAGTTTCCTTATCTGAACTTGTCCAGCTCTGAAACTGTATAGGGACAATCTAATAACTTGCCCTTAAGGATTTCCCAAATTTATTGATTTCTTTGAGTTAAATATTATATTATTTCCTATAGAATAAAGGGTTCTTGACTTCATACAGAGTATTTTATCTGAGGCGGTGTGTATGGGTGGGGGGAAATTACAGAAGGATGATTGCTGAGCTGTAGTGTGGATTTTCTGATGTATGAAGCACTCTAATGGGGCACCATTAATAGTTTAATGTCTAAGGGCAAAAGATTTTAGAAAATTTGTCAGAATTTTGAATGTTTCCTGTATACCATCTTTCTCCATTCACAAACTATAGCTTAATTGAAAAGTATCGATTAAAGAATATCTTACATCTCTGGGTGGAAAATAGAATGGAGTCAAAACTGACTTCTCTCACTTCTGATAGACCCTATGATACTAAATACACATATGAGGAAGTGGCTGAAAATTGAGTTGTTGTGGATTATAGACGAGCACCATTAGCCAGAAAAAGGTTTTCTCCTAGGTTGGTGGACTTTCTCTCTTTACCAGAAACTTTCCTTACAAAGTAATTTGACTTTTCAAGGGGAGACAGAGGCTCTGTCACCTTTGGCAACTAGCTCAGCTTCACCCACCGTGGTCATCAATGGAGTAATAATAGCCATGAGAGTGGGTTAATTCTACATATGAATAGTTAGCTTTTCTTAGTCATCCTAAAGTATTAATATTTGAGTTGTTTGTTTGCTACCATGGCTGTGTTTTGAAGATATTAATTTTCCTAGTTACCCCTTTCCTTTGAAGAAAGGTGATTGGGTTTTCCATGTTATTTAAAATGTGTGGAATGTGGGACTGGATAATGTTCCCCAAACATGGTCAAGTAAAAATAAGCAGAACAGAACTGATGTGATATGTAAGATTAGAGCCTAGATAGAATTACTTAGAGACACTATTAGGAGACGAAATAGAGGAAAATGAAAAGAAACATGGAAATCAAGCACTGTCTAATGGGAATCCTTTTTTTTTTAAATTGTTAGGGCGGAGGGGGTTTTGTCCAAGAGGTGTGCAGGAGTCCCAGGGCCCATTCCTGTTGATAATCTGTAAAACCCAAGGATGTGGTAGTGCTTAAGCCTTAGTTGTAGGGGCCCCTAGGGCCACCCCTGGCAATACTGGGGAAGTCACGTGTGCGAGGGATCAAACCCAGGTTGGGCATGTGCAAGGCATGCTTACTCACCCTGGCACTAACTCCTTGGTCTTCTAATCAGGGAGGAGGGGTTCTCTATGCTGTGTGGTATGTGTCTCCCCACCCTCAATGGAATATGCACTGTCTGCTCTTTCACTGTGACTGGGATTTGTTTGGGAAGCCCTGGGGCGGGCAGAGCCAAGCTGTGCAGAGTATGGTCCATCTGCCTTACGTTTGGAAGGAGACTGGTGCTGCAGATTTGGGGAGCACTCTAGAGCCAGAATTCATTGTGGTGGAGCGGGTGGGGTGTATATATGTGTGACTTGGGCCCTTGCTGTGGGTAAGAGTAGATTTTGAAGACCAGTAAAGCTCCTTTTGTGACTAATGATAAGTTCTCATCCTGTCCTCACATTGTTCTCTCAGGGTTTAAAATTCCACATAGTAAATTACTTCTTGTCGGTTCCCAAGCCCCCTCCATACTTGGTTAATTTTTGTGTAATGAACCCTTATTAAGATTTCATATTTTACAAGTCACAGTTACTGTCCATTACTGCCAGGATTCCAGCCCTGTGGTGGCTGTTGGAGGGAGTGGCTAGAGGTGACACCTACCCTCCAGCTAGAGGTGCACCTTCCCTTCATTTCAGTTGGTCCTGCGTTCCTGCAATCTCGTGGACCTATCTGAGGTGTTGCTTTCTCCACTCAAAACTGTTGCAAATTCAAGTTCTCATAGGAGAGTATTTTCATTTGTTATTATATTTTAGGTCACATGATTGCAATAATGTTAATATTTATGGTTGTGATATATATAGCACAGTGGTAGGGCATTTGCCTTGCACACAGACAGCCTGGCCAAGCTGGGTTCGATTCCTCCGCCCCTCTCAGGAGAGCTTGGCAAGCTACTGAAAGTATATTCAATATGCCAAACACAGTAACAACAAGTCTCAAAATGGAGACGTTACTGGGCCCGCTCGAGCAAATCGATGAACAACGGAAGGACACCTTCATGAAGCAAAATTGCCCAAGACCTTCCACTACTGTTTTTATGTCACTTGCAGAGTTTTTCCTCCCCTCACCCCTACCCACACCCTTTGGGGTTTAGTAATTTCAGTTTTGTAAGCCAAGGCCCAGTGATACTCTTTGCATCCTGGTTTTGTTTCTCTCTGACCTGCAGATAAGTGAGGTTATTCATTTTCTCCCCCTGACTTCATTTGCTTATCATGAGACCTTCCAGTTAGGATCACGGTATCATGGTTCTCCTGTTGTTCATCGATTTGCTCGAGTGGGCCCAGTAACGTGTCCATCATGAGACTTTTTGTTACTGTGTTTGACATATTGAGTATGTCATGGGTAACTTGCCAGGCTCTGCCGTACAGGCGAGATACTCTCAGTAGCTTGCCGGGCTCCCCGAGAGGGGCAGAGGAATCGAACTCGGGTTGACCATGTTGGCTGCGTGCAAGGCAAACGCCCTACCGCTGTTTTATCGCTCCAGCCCTCCAGTTAGGATAGTCTTTTAAAATAGTTTTTTGCTGCTGAAAAAAGTAAATAACTAAAAAGCATTTGAAAATCTCTTCTTTCTTTAAAAAAATTAAATCACTATAAGATACACAGTTCAAAGTAGTTCATGATTGAGTTTCAGTTATACAATGTTGTAACACCCGTTCCTTTAGTAGTGCTAGATGACTGAATTGTGATGGCCTTGAACAACATCATTAAATCCTTTTCTACTTTTGTCCTTTTTGAGTCGAATGATTTAAACATTTTTTTCTTTTGTATAAGTATAGTTTTCAATCATTGAAATGTTATTGTAGCAGTTACCCTGTGAACTATTATTACCTTGTCCTTTAAAAGTTGTTGTCACCAAGCTAGACATGATAAAGAATTTTATTGATTCTGTGGTTCACATTTTTTCTTCCTTTCAGAGTCTAACATAACTGATACTGGGTTTTGCTTTCCAAATCAATGGCCTTTTCCAGTTACTTTCAGTCAGGTGACTGGGTTGTCATCCGTTTCACCAATTTATTTCACTTCTTTTAATAAATTCTCCCCAAGTAATAGATTATAAGCAATATGTCTCAATCAGTCTAAAAGAACTTCTCTAATAAAGGAAAAGCAAAAAAATGCTAAGTAATCAGAAACCATGTCATAGTTTAATCAGCAGCATTTTTCTTTCTTGGTATTCGATAAAATAACGGTGCACCTTGTATTTGATGGATTCGGATCATGGAAGCATGGTATATATTTCAGTCAGCTTTGGTTTCTAAGTTTGTGGGCCTATTGATGTGGTGCATAATATAATTCAAGGGTTTGAATAAAAATGAGACATAATGAAAAGAATATGTGGGGTTCTGTTTTGGGAAGCAGTATTCTTGCTATCCACTAGGAGAGAAGCAACATGAGATCCACGCATTCAGCTGGTAGTTTACTGTGACCATTTGATGACTCTTTGTCCTTACTCTTAGCCCATAACTGTCTTTCAGCTTCAGTCTGATGTACTTAAAGGCTAGTTATGTACTATCTAGTGTCCTTCATTTTTTTAAAAGAGTTGCTCCTATGAGGCACTCCTGCAGAAGTGTAGCCTCTCCTGCTTGTCTTGTGAAGAGAGCACTCTTGTCCCTTGCGATGGGCCAGTTTTTTTTATTTTTGTCTTTCTTGCAGACCTGTAGATAAGTGAAGGTGGAGGGAACAGAATTTTCAATTTAGTGTCCCATTGAATCAGTAGAAGTATCAGGACTCTCAGAACCAAGAGAAGTCTAGGGAGTAAGGTAGAAGAGTACATTTGTGACCACACCTTGCAGGTCTTTATTCTATTGCTGTGTTATTTTTGTTTTTGCAAATAATTTATATTCCTCAAAATCAATTAGTCTTCTCTGCACAGGCATAAAACTATCACTAACAGTGTTGTAAATCACAGCAAATCAATAAAATGGGGATTATTTTATTTTTTAATTTTTTAAAGTTTTAAATTTTATTTTCATAAAGTTATTCACAATAATTGCTTACATTCAACATTTCAACACCAATCCCACCACCATTACACCTTCCCACCACCATTATTTCGAATTTTCCCACCACTACCAAAGCCTGCCCCACAGGCAGATGCTAAATAATTTATTTTGTATTGCTTGTTACAAATAGTGTAAGATGTGGTGCCACCATGAAAGTGGCCAAGTGCTCTTGGAATTCTAAGATTTTAAGAAATATTTGGGATCCGAAGGCTTCTCTGCAGCATGCTGCTCTTTTCTGAGATTCATTTGTGAGTCCCTGAATTATGGTTGTTAATGTGCTTAAATGGTGCCCAGAGGCAGTTCTTGGGTGTGACTGCCAGGGAACCAGAAGGTTGGGGAGATGGGGAGAGGTCACCCATTCCTGATGCCATGAAGCCTGGAGTTTTTAGTCACTAAATCCGCATACCTGGGTTTTTTTTCAGCAGATTCTTTCTCATGCATCGGGGGCTCAGGACTAGCCTGTGGAGGTCTGCTGTGAGTGTGGCCATGATTGGGTTCTGGAGGTCTGTGGCTCTAGAACAGGGTTCATTTGGGGCAGGCGGAGAAATATATCTGTCCCCCTCTGAGGTGCCCTGGTGAAATCTGCCTGTTGCAGGGTGGGGAGACATCTCTGCAGTGTGCTGCTCTCTTCTAAGACTTATTTGTGACTCCCTGAATCATGGCCATTAAT